GTGGCGATAAACCATCCACCAAACATTGCACATGATCTAAAGGCCAGCGCTGGTCTGAATGCAATGGGAAAACAAATGACCCAACAGACAAGCATCATCGCCCAATGTCAGCAGAGATCCAGGCTGAATGATGGATTTGTGAAGCCGAATAGATGGAGTCGAAAAGCCAAAGCCAAAGTTACAGCAAATTACTAATTAGCTTTGTAATACAAAAACATACATAGTATATTCCATTAATTCATGTTAAAATCAAATTCATTTAATTTCTATTACTAAAAACAATGTGGTGCATTATAAGTCAATAACTTTCTCTGGATTTTCTTTTGTCCCAATTATTATTTTTTGTGTCCCCTTCAATGGATCAACAGTAAAACTGGATGTAACTTCACCCTGGATGTAAATCCCGTCACATTTAAAACCGACAACCTTCAATCTCAAAATGACTGTTTCAATGTAAACGAAATGTAATTTTTTGCAGATCCATAAACTGTCTCACCATCTACACTGAACTGAGAGATGAAGTGAGAGATTCAGTTCTTTGTGACCACAAAAATAAGCTAGAGTAACATTATTTTGAACAGCTGGAGAGGAAGTCAGGATGGTGCCGCGAGAAATAAGACTGATTCAGAGCCAAAAATAATCACTGGAACCCCGTATAATTGCATATAAAATTTCCATCCATTTGTAATACACCGTTTTAACACTTCAGGTAAAAAAGGGTAACAACTGTAACTGATAGATCTCAGGCAGCAGAAATTGTCCGCACACTGGAAACATGCAAACAGACCAAAAAAAGGTCTACCAAACATATAACTTTTATTTTTCATATGCATGAGTGAAAAAGTGACAAAAGTGCAAGGTGTCTTAAAAACAGACGTTTCAGCCCATGCCATCTTCAGTGCTCATAAGGCAAACAGCAACATCTCATTTTTAAAGGCACAATTACAAATTGTTAACAGCTGAACTTAATCAATTAGGGATAATTAACAATCCAATTCCCAAAATTTCCCTTTTTAAAAAAACCCCACCCATTTCACTTTAACAACATACAATAAAGGGCAAGAACACATAATTATATATCAATTACATATGTATGTAATCAATTGTTTAATTTTGTAGGTTTTGCCCGTTTGTGGATGTGTAAACGATTTACGTTCTTTGGTCTGTTTTTAAGACACTTGTGCATATTTAAAATAAAATATATATTTTTGATAGACCTTTTTTGGTTTCAATTTCAGCTACCTTGTTGATTATACTTCTTTTTGTTCTATGCACCTGATAACTTACTGGCCTTTCTTTTTTGAGCGCATACAATTCCTGTTTAATGAACTAATATATATCATACTGTCTCCAGTTGATTAATCACAGTACATTAAAGTGCCCCTATTATGCCATTTCAAATTCTGCCTTTCACGCAGTCTGTAATATAGCTTTTTAATGTAGCTGTATGTGAATGTAAACGATCTGCGAAGTTGTAAAGCTGAAAGTGCATGATTAATGAAGTTACTGTCTCCCAAAAGAAAGAATTGACTCTACACAGCCTAAACGAGTCGTCAGTAATTCAAATCCTACTTCCGTGACAGCTACACGTCACAGGGTAACACATTTGCATAATGCCCGCCTATGTGCTACGTTGGCCGGCCGTGAACAGCTTGACCCGCCCTCCATCACTGGACCTTGTTTGCGCTGTGCACAACGCTATGAAAGGAAAGATGAGGCTGCAAAGAATCAGTGGTTAAAATTCACAGCAGTACAACCCCAATCTTTTTTGTGTTACTGACGACTGTTTCTCTAATCTCGGGGAATTTAATGCGGGATTCACAAACGCTTGCTCTTGAAAGATGAGCTCAGTACCCAGTTTATTTGGACCAGCTGGCTCCACTGAATCAAAACCTGTAAGTATGATAAATAATAGATGTAATATAATAAATACACAACTATGGCAATGGGTGTATCGTTTCAGACACGCGGTGTACACAGTCGACCAATCACAACAGACCAGGCCACCTGACCAATCAGAGCAGAGTAGGCTCAAAGAAAGGAGGGGTTTAGAGAGACTGAATCTCAGAACTGCTTCAAACGAATCATTTGAGAATAGTTGGAAAATGAGGTGATATTAAATGCATACTTTGAGAAAACAAAAGCGTTTTTTGACCTTGCATGCATGACTCCCCAAACAATATTAGGAACCCTAAAAAAATGGCATAATAGGGGCACTTTACTCAACAATTCTCTTTTGTATAAGTTTTCTGAAGTTTAAATATGCAAATGAGGCAGTGTCTAATTAAATATGCTCTCATCTGAATACATTTCCAGAACAAAAATCTGAACATTGGATAAAGGTTAAACATGCTTGTTTAATTGAGTTGATAAATAAAGTTAAAGCCAAACAAATGCAGTGAACCAGAAAATGACAGTATTTGGAAGCACATCTTACATAACTTTTTTTGAAGGGTAATTTAGGGATATAAAAATGTAAATGGCTTCACAAGTTCAGTTTCCTGCCCATATTTCCTATTAAAACAAAGTTTGGATGGGTCAGGCCAATGTCAATGTTTGCAATTAACTGCAAATTATAAAGTTTAGGGGCACATAAACATATATGATTCCTGTTGCTCATGCAGTAATGCATGACACTATCAACGCCAAGGTCATGGGTTTGATTCCCAGGGAATACATGAACTAATGAATGTATGCTTTGGATGAAATGTGGGTCGCTTTGGATAAAATCATCTGACAAATGCATGAATGTAAATGTATTTGTTAACACACATAGGGTCTTTAGGAGTGATACAGTGCACTGTCCATGAATGCCTCACTATATTCAGAGGACTGATCTTCTGTGTGTCTCTCACACACATTTCTCTGCTCCAGAGCTTCTTGATCTGATCTGTGAAGTCCAGGATCTGGGGATTAGAGCTCATGCTTCCACAGGCAGTCCCACACTACACACACACACACAGTGCCTCCTTGTCATTCGGTGAAGGTCGTGGGCACAGCAGGCAAGGCTATGCGTCTCAGGCCTGTCTGTGTGTTCAGCGGTAAATCAGTGAGGCAGTAATTTTGGGCCCCTAGAGCTCTAGCTGACACTTCATGCTGCTCCGAACAGCACTGCGCGCGCGCACACACACACACGATCTCAGATAAAGATGGGCAATATGATGGGATATACCATGTACATGGATATATTGAATATTCCTGATAAATACTGTATAAGTGTGTGATGATTTTGCTAGTGATATAAAATTAAGCAACATCAGCATGTTTACGTGCACCCAAAGAATCCATTTATCATCATATTGGTGGCTCAATCGAACTGAAAACCTTCATGTAATCACCTCAATCGATCCGAATGAGTTCAATCAGAATGAAATTGATTAGATTTAAGGAGTGGTGCAAACTTTAAATAATTGGATTAAACATAAAAAATTAAGCACTTAAACGCTTGAATGTGACTATTTTCTCAATAGAGTGCTGCAGGGATGAATATTTTTGTAGGCCGAGACCTGGGAAGCACTTCCGGTTCCATTGTCTCCTAAAGTCCTAAATGGGTTTTTGCCTGAAATAAAGTCTGTTTAACACAAGCTCAGGATATTTTTGTGCCTCCTTGTCATTCGGTGAAGGTCGTGGGCACAGCAGGCAAGGCTATGCGTCTCAGGCCTGTCTGTGTGTTCAGCGGTAAATCAGTGAGGCAGTAATTTTGGGCCCCTAGAGCTCTAGCTGACACTTCATGCTGCTCCGAACAGCACTGCGCGCGCGCACACACACACACGATCTCAGATAAAGATGGGCAATATGATGGGATATACCATGTACATGGATATATTGAATATTCCTGATAAATACTGTATAAGTGTGTGATGATTTTGCTAGTGATATAAAATTAAGCAACATCAGCATGTTTACGTGCACCCAAAGAATCCATTTATCATCATATTGGTGGCTCAATCGAACTGAAAACCTTCATGTAATCACCTCAATCGATCCGAATGAGTTCAATCAGAATGAAATTGATTAGATTTAAGGAGTGGTGCAAACTTTAAATAATTGGATTAAACATAAAAAATTAAGCACTTAAACGCTTGAATGTGACTATTTTCTCAATAGAGTGCTGCAGGGATGAATATTTTTGTAGGCCGAGACCTGGGAAGCACTTCCGGTTCCATTGTCTCCTAAAGTCCTAAATGGGTTTTTGCCTGAAATAAAGTCTGTTTAACACAAGCTCAGGATATTTTTATGTTTTATGCTTGTTTTATTCCATTAAACGGGTAAACTCATCAACACACTAGTCGCTTTCACAGCCCCATTGTGTTTATAATTGCACGCTTTCAAACTATTCTCAAACGTTCAAGGAAAATATTTTTTTTTTATAAATCCTGAAAGAGTTGTTCGGGTCACTTAATGGTGGTGACGTTAAAGTCATGTAATCATGGTGTGGTTCATTTATGGTATAGTCTGCACTTATCTTTTTACTTCTGCCAGTTAAATACATTGAGGCTTGAAAATTCATAAATGGTGTTCATTTGTGAAGATCATGATGGACAAAACAAGTAACAATCATAAACTTTTGTTAGTCACAGAGTTTATTTTCTGCAATAATCCAAAAGCCAATGGAAAAATCCTAGTGGGATTTTGTCGAGAGATTAAAATTCAGGATTAAATCCACATAACTACATTGTGAGTGACTATACTATATTTGGACTGTCTCTCCAGCACCAGTCTCAGAGAAACATTGCTAGTTTACCAACTAATGGCTCAAATACATTGGGTTGCTGCTCTGATTTTTGCACTGATTTCCAGTTCACTAGTTGCCACATTTTGGAGCACATCTGCAGAGTTTGGACAGTCATGAAACTCAAAAAGAAATGGAGATGGTGAACAAGTACAAAAAATATCCCAGCAATAAACACAAAAACACACCAGACACATGTCTGTCTGTGCTTCAATGAGTCGAAAATGTGAAGAACTCCATGAAGGAATAAATATGATCTGCTACTCACTATCAGCCGCTTGAGACCCAGGAAGTTCTGCTCCACTGAGTTGGCCGAGAGCACCTGTCTCTTCATTGCGGCCTGGTCGCCCAAAAAACGCTGCATGAGATCTTTCACCGCATCGCCCTGTAAATCAGAGCGCTTTAGTTTCTGCTTCACTCACGGTTTCATAGAGTTACAACACAAAGAGCAATGAAAAGGGACGACTGTCTCTGGTTTATTCACTATATCTTTATCTAAAAATAGATTATTTACTAGACACATATTTACAGCAAGTTAAAGACCTGAAAGATTGTTTTTATTTATTGATTGACTGATAAAAAGACAGTAAAAAACATAATACTGTGATTTAATATTATAATGTAAAAGAACTGTTTTCCTTGTAAATTATTTCAGCATCATTCCTCCAGTCTTCAGTGTCACATGATCTTCAGAAGTGATTTGCTGCTCACACGTGATAATCGTGATACATTTTATTTTTCAGGTTTCGTTAATGAATACAATGTTCAAAAGAACAGCATTTATGTGAAAGAATATTATAAATGCCTTTACAATCCCTTTTTTACAATTTAATGCATCCTTGCAGAATAAAAGTATTCATTTTTATCTAAGCTTTTCAGACATTTTCGAATGGTAGTGTATGCGCTGCGCTGACATATTTACTATTGAAACAGAAAGCTTCGAGTTAAGCCTTTAATTACGCTAGTGAAGAAAATTCTGTCATTATATGCTAATATTGCACCAAATCTGTATGCTTTTACTGTTTACTCAGAACTGTTTACTAATATGCATAAAGTACCTTCATGTATTCCATGATAAATGGCTAATTCATTCAAATTAGCTCAAAAGCAAGATGGCATTTAATAAAACTTGCCTGTCTATGTAGTAGAAATGTGATTTGTGCTTTAATCAGTACTACATGACTAGAAGAAACAGACAAAAAGTGCTGCAAATTCAACACCCATAATGCACTGGGCTCGATTCAACCGTGAGCAGGGATACAAAAAATGTGCAAGTATGAGCTCTAGTTTTCACAAAAGCCCAGGGGGGGTCAAAAAGTCACCGGGTGAGATGTTTTACATCATCTGCACGGTTAAAAACAATGATTTCAAAATGCAGTTTTGCAGTGATGCCATAGAAGAACCATTTTGGGTTCAATGAAGAGTTCTTAGTCTTATTTTAATCATCTAAAGAACCTTTTTCCACAACAAAGGTCCCATGGAAGTTTTTCTTGGAACCATTAACAGCAATAAAGAACCTGTGTTTTAAGAGTGTGGCAGACTTGTGCTGACAAATAAACAGGGATATCTTGGTGCAGGGAACACAGAGAAAGAATACACATTGTTCATTTATATACACTATTGACATTATAACAATACAAAACTGGTTGAAACTAGGGTTGTGACGGTGAGGAAATTGTCCCACCGGTTAATCGACGTGTGACAACACCGGTAATACCGGTATCACCGCGGGGGCGGGGCGCTCCCTCTTTTCCTCGCTTTCCTTCGCTTTTAAATAGCTTGTAAAAGCTGCGTGCGCATTTTACGTTCACTTTCAAATAGCGGCAATTCGGAGTAAAGCAATTGTTCGTTTGAATTTTCCCTATTTTCCTCGCTTTCCTTCGCTTTTAAATAGCTTAAATG